ATATTTCATAAATTGATTTTGTGTAAAGGTACAGCTCACGGAGTCACTGTCACTGCAAATTAAAATAATATAATGTTAACTGAAATCCTAAAATAGAATACACATTGTAGTACTAATTATGTGTCTTTACATGTAGATTTAAATAACAATAATATTGCATGACAAGACCGATGAAAAAAAAGGGTACCTAATAAATTTATGAGCATTAATAACAAATCTATTAATATAAAAAAAGTTAGAGATTTACTTGAAAATCTATTAATATATGAAGAGACAATTGATATTTACTTGAAATAGTAACTAAAAATCAGTACAAAAAAAAAAAAAAAATATTTGGTTTCTCGCCTAAAAATTTGATTTACTAAATTGAGTAATTTTTTGGCCAAATTTTGAAAAATTCCACCTAAATTACTGTAATTAATGTACAAAATCATTTTGGTCAAATATTGCGGCTATTACCTTTATTAGTTGCATGATTTTAAATTTGGAATACAATATATTGACAAAATTTGCAGCTATTACATTTATTAGTTGCATGATTAAACTTGGTATATAATATATTAAAAATAAAAATAAAAAAGATTTTTATTTAAAATTTAAATTAAAAAAAATAATTATTCATAACTTACAAGTCAATATTAACTTGGACGTAAACGAAAAAGTCAATTATTAATAGTTTAATAAATTACTCAATAACTTACATATCAATATCAACTTGGACGTAAACGAAATAGTCAATTATTAATAATTTAATAAATTACTCAATAACTTACATGTCAATATTAACTTGGACGTAAACGAAATAGTCAATTATTTATAGTTTAATAAATTACTCTACTACTTATTTTTTTTATTTGAATATTTTATACAAAAATAAATTATTTTAAGAAATGAAACAATATAAATGTTATATTTATACTTATTATTCACATAGGTTGTTAAATATATGATAAAATTTTACCAAAAAAACTATTTTATAGAATCACATTATAGTCAAATGAATTTTTGAATAATTTTTTTTTTGAAATGACACTTATTTTGAAACAAATATAATGTAAGTTATTATCAGTTATGTACACCGCACAAGTTGTAACTAATTTTAAATAGACATTTTTATGTGATTATTCACAATTTAAACTTTATATAATATTTTTAATAAATTAATATAGATAAACATACTTTTAATTTATAAATATTATTTAATAAAAATTTTTAATTTAAAAATATTAATAAATATCTCTTATCCGAACTCATACTAGTTTATAAACAAGCATGTACTATGAAATTATATAGAACTTCCACAGATTCTTTCAAATTCTGGAATCAAAACAAATATATGCCCTTATCATCTCATCCCTTTTCAATTTCCCGAATTCCAATCCCATATTGCTTTTTCACTCCAAAGCAATAATAGGAGATCAAATTTCCCAATCCCAAATCCCATTCCAAAGAACATCGAATTCACCTTTCTCTAATATGATTACACAGATCACCTGTGCAAGGAAAAGGAAAAACGCATACATATATGCATACCTATGTACCAGAGGAAGAGATAGAGAAAGAGATACAGAGAAATGGATATCAAGGGAATCAAGAAAGAACAGGACGTTTATGTGCCCCAGAAATCATACGATGAAGCTAACTCTGATGTGGTTGAAGCTGCCGCCACCGTTCAGATGAAAACTAGGGTATGAATATGCTTCTTTTCTGTTGTGATTATTATTTTTTTTTTAAGTTTGTGTAGGTTTATGATTATTGGATTTCGTGTCTGAATGTTTTACCTTATAATTTTGTAGTTTTTGGAGACTCTGAGGCACAGATTGAAAGAGGTGGAGGAAGAAGCTGATGGGCTTCGCCAAGCGTTGGCGAAGCAAGAGAGAGAGATTCGCGTGGTCCAAGGTTTACTTCATATAACTTATTATTATGAGCACGTGCTTTTGTGAATCTTCACTTTGTTTTATTGGGAAAAAGGGCTTGATTTTATATTTCTGGCTTAAGCTTGTGACCTGTGTTTTTCAAGGTTTCACTTGCTAGATTATGTGTTGCATGCTGGGATCTGTTTTTTTTTTTTTTTTTTTTTTTTTTTTTTTTTTTTTTTTTTTTGGTTTTACCTTATACAGAAATAGTCACTAGTTTGTTTAATGAATTTAGAGATGAATGGGGTACATATTTTTATCTGGAAACTTGCAATTAGATCTAGCTAGATATGATGTTGGGTTTGGAGATCGGTTTCTTATGAAAAATTTTGGTAGGCATGCTAATGGATGGATAACGTTTGCTATTGAATAGGTTTTTGATTGATCAAATACAATATTGTGTTTTTGCTTTTCACGGTTTGTCGGATTCTTTTGAATTTGTTATCTCTTATTGATTTGTCGGATTTATTTGGATGCTCTTGTGTGTGTGAAATTAGTTTAAATTCTTAAAAGTGATTCTTGTGGTGTGCTAGATGCGATGCGTAATACGTTGAAAACCTAGAACTTTTTGGCATCGAATATCACGTGCTTTTTTAGTTCCACAACACGTGTCCACTTTTTTCACCCAAACAAATTACTAGTGAAGCATGTCCCAAGTGCAAGCTCCGAATCATGAATAAAGTTCTCGTCCAAGCCTAATGCGAACAATCTCAACTTAACAAAAGATACACTCAGGTATAAGTCGATAGTCAACTTATATGGAGTCATAAGCCTAATAGCCCTAACCATAATGGATATTCTAAATCAATTTGCCCAAAAGCCCGATTATTGAATTAAATGAAATAGAAAATTGATCTCTAATAGTTCTCCTACCCTTCTGAAATGTCTTGTCCGCAAGGCTGTGTTCGGCTTCAAAATTTGCCTCAAATGAGTTTGTGGCTCAATTCCAGTAGCGACACATTAATAGGGGTATATTTGTTTTGGATTTAAAGAGACATTTTAAGACTTATTTAGATTTGAGATTTTTACTACTCTGAGATTTATGAGAAATCCTTGACAATTTGGACTCTGGACGTGGAATTTGTAGTGAGATTTCATATACGTTTTTTTTTTTTTTTTT